ACCAAAGAACTAACCCACGTCCGACCTCCAGCCCGACGGCCGGAGATTAGAGAGCGAAAGACAGTTTTTTCTCACGTGTAGTGAGTGGACGGAGTCCAAATCCGACAAATCAGCATCAAACAATAGTCAACATAACTGTTTATAAACATAAAAATATATGTATACACACCATATAACCACGGACACTTTAGTCCGCGACAATGTCTTAAAAAGAATCTGAGTGGCAGACCTGCGATGGGGCGGAGTCAGTGTTGCAAGAACGGATCGAATTTGGCCAAGTCGCTAAATCGCTGTAATCTGCCACACAATCTTAATCTTAATCAAAACTACCGGTACCGGCGGGAGGGATGTTCTTTTGTAAGCAGTACAGCATTGCGTTGAATGTGGGTAAACTGGCGCATGTATATATTTACATGTATTAAACCCTTGTAACGGTTTTGCCAGATTTCCCAACCTTCTGTGTGTTCATTGTTTGTGTTTTGTGTATGATTTTTTTTTGCGGGAAAATCAAAATATACTTATAGACAACTTATTATATTATCTTATGATGACAGCATTGTTCGGGATGAATGGTAGTCCACAAGTGCTTCGTTTACTTGACTTTGTTTCTCATTTCATGTCCGCGGATTGCCGTGGTAATTTTAGCAGTGATGATTCTATATAGTCGTATGTCATACATCCAACACAATTAAGCCAATAAACAAGGCATTTCAAATATGCACGCATCGGTCATGAACAGTCGTTGGTCATGAATTGGGCAATTGTAAATTGTACATATAGTTACGATTGTACTCATTGATATTTTACCTTGACCTTAGGGTATTTGTAATGGCGATATCTTGCCTAATAATAACCTCGAGTGCTGGAAAAACAACACAAATTTGACGAATCAAAAGGTCGCAAAAATACGATTCCAATCTATTTATAGTTGGCTGTTCATCACGTATTTTATATTATTTTAGATTAGTAATCTTTCATTTTAGTCATCGTGATAGTAATCTCAACTCAACTCAAAGACGAGAAACGATAAATATAATTAAATTATTATGACAATAGTCAAGATATTATAAATGCTAGCATCGACCATGGATTGAATATTTTACGCAACAGAAAACTTGTTATCCGCAGAATTTTTTTTTGTCAACGGGTGGACAGTTACAAAATCCAAGCCAAGTCAGTATTTTGAAAAGAAATCGAATAGTTCGCGGGCCCTCCCCGGTAGGCTTGCACGTAATTGACAAAAATCAATTCCGTAATTACGGCAAAATCAATTACGTAATGACCTCGTAATTGCGATATTTTTTCACGCATTTAAACCTATCATAACAACCAATTGAATCCACTTCTTTTCCGAATGGGACATTGAAGTTGGGTTTTCATATTCTTGGCAGTATTACACGCCGGCGGCAGATGTTAAAGACAAATATCAAGGAGTGAATTCAAATTAATTTTATTCTGATTTTTATCTTTTGTGTTAGCTTTGGTTTTCCTTTATCCCCTTCGCAAATTAACCGTCCCATTTTTATGCAATCAATTTTATTTTATCATTACCGACACTGGTATACGGATATTTATGGAAACGATAGTTTTTTAAAACCACCTTAGTACTGAATAAAAATTACGGGTTTCTAATTTATTAACCAACGACGAGCGTATTCTCTCGTTTGATTATACTTGCGATTTCCTCGCGACGAAGACTTGTTTTTGCAGCGTCTTCTGCATTACCCGACATTACTGCCTTGTTAGCATTTTATAATAATAATTATTGATGTCGTCTTATTGACGATATTCCGATTACCATGCTTCATTTTACATTTAATCATTTCGCGGACTGAATGTTTATAACATTATTTGCGATAAATTTAGATCAAATATTATTTATTTGCGTATATTAAATACCGAACTTATATGATATGACTTCTCCGAAAATACAAAGTTATATCGCAACACAATGCATTTTGTGACATTTATTTTACACTCACGACATTTATTTGCTAGCTCAAGTCGGCGATCCTATCGGCCAAAATTGACACAAGTTTGGTCGAGTGCCGGTGGTATTCAAGTCGACGATAAATCAAAATAAGTTGCCGCATTTGGTAAGACAGTTAATCATATATGGCCGAAATATTGAGAGGAATTGTGAAAAACATCATGAGCAAGGCCAAGTCCGGACTGATATATAACGATAAAACTGTTAACAGAACATCAAGATTTTGTAATAGAAAATGGATCTCGCACAGAATAAACACACTGGCTCATATTTGATTATATATGATAGCAGTTAAATTTTTAGCGGTCCGCGAGGAATCCGTGGTTTTGTTGTTTCTCTGCCGTCTCAATCGCTTTACCGATGCCGAGAAGACGAAGTTGCGTTGGTTCATTACGCAATCTCTCTTTTGTCGTCATATTGCTATTTGATAAGCGCGACATTAATTATCACGGCGAGATATTGGCGCGAGTGATCAATCGCTCTTTCCGTTTATTTGGTTCCAATTCGTCGCGAAAGCTCTTCGTTAAATTTCACAAGATCGTCGTGTTGAAAGGTTATGGATATTTTCCTGTTTATACCCCAAGTCTGTAATAAAACAGCCAAAAACAGTATGATATTCCATGTTCATATATCAAGTGTTGATATTAACAATAAAGAATGGTTAAGCATTGCTAATCCACACTTTGTGGGGAATTTCCCACTATTCCCAGCTCGACTATAAAATAGAATAAAATAGAAACGGAACATATATACCATAAGTAACGGAAAACTGGAACAAGTAAATAAAAAATAAAAGTAAAATGGATACAAATGTTTGATAGACCATGTTTGATAGATTGATCTCCTGCGTTCATTAGTCATTTCACCCGAAGAAGTTGAAACCGGGCGTGTTAGCGTCCATCGGTCTTAACACAATTCTTCCCCCTATCTACGGTTATTATGTACATTGGCCATGCTAGATGAGATGCGAGAGAAGTTGAAACCAGGTGTGTTGGCGTCAATCGGTCTCAACGCAATTCTATCCCTTATATACGGTTAAGTTGCGGGAGAAGTTAAAACCAGGTGTGTTGGCGTCAAACGGCCCTACTCAGTTCTTCCCCCTTAACTACGTTAATAATTTACATTGGCCATGCCAGATAAGTTGATAATAGGTTAGTAAATGGCAACGCGTCATGCCTTCCTTCACCTACGTAACAAGAGAGAGAAAAGAGAAATAAACGGCTGCGAATACCGGAACTCTAACTTCTTCTGCTTGTTGAGCTTTCATTTTTCGCAATCAACGAAATTGACAGCTTTGAAGAAAGCTCGTTTCAATGCATTAATTACGACTTTACGTAATTCGTAACTTCCCTTCCGTAACTCCAAATAATTACGTAATTACGTAAATCCGTAAATTACGTGCAAGCCTGCTCCCCGGTTTCTCTCACCAAGTGAGTGATTTTTTTTCAACATTTTTATGTGATTGTGTGTCAGCGTTTGTCTATCTATGACGTCTTATGGTTTAAAATTTAAATGTATTGGGTAAAAAATTTGATCGAGACATAAAATTCCAAGAGATTCTCAAATACGTGAATGTAAGTCTTGCCATGGCTGGACTGTAATTTTACTTTTTTAGCTACGTTGTTGAGTATGATGAGACGATCAAATGGCGACTAACTTATTATGCTCGAAGCTCCTTGATCAATGTGACTGCTTCATTATATTTTTAAACGTCGACAGCGTGAAAGACTGTGTATTACTAGCTCAATGAATATTCTATTGATACATTTAGTTATTATCAACAATGTGGAAGTAGGAAGTAGATCAAAACCTTTCATGAACTATACCAGGTTGGTTCAAGGTTGTCGACCTCGCGGGCCACACTATCATTTTCTGTATTGTTCGCGGGCCACAATAGTGCCAAGAATATGTTAACAGTGCAAAACAAACACTTTTATTATCAAATACATTAATCATTATTTAACTTTTTTTAAGCTAAAGCATGCAAAAACTACAAAAAAAACTCACTAAAACGTGCAAAAATCCTACTATATCTACATTTAGTGTAAGATTTCAATCTTTTCATAACGGAGAAAGTATCAAAAAGAGAAAATGCCGTGTTAAATTGTCACCGACACAACTTGCAGACATATCAAGCAAGCATTGTGGTATTTTCGCTCCCACACCCAGTCAAAAATATGTTTAAATTGGTCAGCTTTATTTTTAAATTCATGTTTACAAAATAACTTACACGTAACTGCAAATTGATTGATTACTAATTGTACCAAATTTGAGATACAGGAGGGTAATTACTCAATTTTCTGACATATAGGCAGCATTTTTTGTAATACTGTTTAGGCTGGTTACAAAAAAACCACCCGGCGGGAATTGTATTGTTCGGCCATAACATTAATATTTAGTTATCAGGCATAGCCAACCTAGGCTAATAGATTCCTCATTCGATTTTCAGTTTTCTATGGAGCCTCTTTTGTTAGCATATATTCCCGACCAAAAAGATGAACAGCCAGATAAATATTTCGACAGCCTACACATCTTTCAACTTTGCTAGTTGCCTCAACTAGACAAAACACTAGTCAATTCAGTGGAATTAGTGATGTAACATTATGTCAAAAGATTTTTCTGGTTCTTTTTATCATGAAACAACACCAAATGCGACTTTTTGTTTACCCTCGCGCAAATGCGACGCGGGCCACATGTGGCCCGCGGGCCTGGGTTTTGACCACCCTGAACTATACCATACTACTGTACTGTACTAGTGTCAGTCTGATCAATGACATTAAACAACATGATGCGCAACTTCGGCATTTTTGTCCGAAGGTCGTATTCGATAGCACGCTCCAATGCACATACTTGACGAGACGAAAACGAGCGGATGTGCGCTGCTTTCAAGGCGTAGCACGAATG